GTCCACTGTCCGTTTGGAGTGGAGAACTACTAGACACAATACAGCCTTATAAATTAAAAAAAAGTGAGTCTCTGGGCGGACGACATATACAGATGTAGTCATTGTCAAGCACGGCTCTTCGAGGAGGAGAAGAATAGAAAGCAATGGTGCTGTGGGGAGGGAGCCTTCAATGTTCTCGAACTTCCTCCTTTGCAAGAGCCCTTCTATTCTGATCGTCACTTCCTGGAAAGAGCTCGTGCCTACAACGATCTGTTTGCTTTCTGCGCGCTCGAAGTGTCAGGCGGGTATCGTCATCCCAGTGGTCTTTCTTTTTTCAAGATCGAGGGAAGAATGTACCACCAGGTCTACAATCTGGACGCCCCAGGACAAAAGTTCACCACTCGTTCTGGGAACGTTCAGTTTGTGAATCGGTCCCGCCTGTATATTGACGATGGCGAAGAGCGCCGTAACATTGCGATGGGTAGATCGCTTGATGCCGAGATCATCGACGGTATTGCTGATTTCCTGTCGAGGGAAAATCCTTACATTGAGCATTACCGTCGATTGAGCAACGAGCCTTCTGTGAATGCTCACTTGGCATTTGAGATAACAAGCAGGTCTACCCATGGTCCTGTTCTCGGCGATCGGCAAACAGGAGTTGAAGTGCACGCCGTGCTCAGCAATGATGAAAATGACACTGAGCCCCGGAGACTGACAATATGGAAATCCGGTTCTGACAGACCTACATTTATAGATCTTTTACATCCCCTGATGGAACCTTTCCAATATCCCCTACTCTACCCACAAGGCACTGTGGGATGGCACGTTGGTCGTCTTGACAACAAGGGTGCTAAGCTGACTCAATTTAAGTACTCACGGTGCGTCCTACTTTCGGAACCTCGCTTCTCTCACCTAGGCCGTCTCTCACAAGCTTGGCAGGTTGAGATGTTCGCGAGGTATGAGGAGGAGAAACTGCGTTATGTTATATTAAGTTTACACAGCTGAAGAACACCGATAGTGCCTTGCGGGTGGGGCCGGTTGACGAGATTCGGAATGCACAGCAGGTCTTGAACGACATCGCTCGTGATGAAACCGTCCAAGGCGAGAGTGGGGTGCAGGCAGGGAAAGTCTACCTCCCAAGTTCGTTCACCGGTGGGCCCAGGTACATGAAAGTAAAATACGAAGACGCTATGGCAATCGTATCGCGCCTGGGTTCCCACACTTTCTTTTTGACGTTTACGTACAACGCGACTTGGGAGGAGAACAAGAAAGCTTGCCCTCGTGGAGGTACTCGCAGTGACCCTAGCACTGCTTGCAGAGTTTTTAGGATCAAACTTCTGGAACTTCTCCGAGACCTGCGCAGCGGAGCAATGTTTGGACGCTCTGTCTATATCGTCTACGTCATCGAGATGCAAATGAGGGGCCTTCCTCACGCCCACATTGTATTCAAGATTGACGGCGACGGACCAGTTCAGGCGTCCGAAATTGACTCCATCATCCGCGCGGATATTCCCTCGGAAGAAGAGGCCGGAGGCCGACTGAGAAAGTTGGTCCTCAAACACATGATCCACGGTCCATGTGGTTAATGATCATAGGACTGACTTTCTCTGTTGGGACTCTGCAAAGGGTTACTGCACCAAATAATTCCCCAAGCCCTGCTGTGAAACCACCCACGTCGACGAGAGGGGATTCGTCCAGTACAAGCGAGATTATACCAATCGGGGGACAATATTATCACGCAATAAGAACATTATCGTACATGACGGTTGGGTTGTGCCTTATAATCCTGCACTGATGTTGAAATACGAGGCCCACATCAATTTGGAGCTGGCGTCTACTCGCCGCGTGATTAAGTACCTCTTCAAATATCTTATGAAGGGAGGATCTCTCCAGAACGTCACAGTTACTCCCTTCAGTAAGCAAGATGATGAGGTACAGCATTACGTGACGAAGAGAATGGTGGGTGCCAGTGACGCGTGCTGGCGTTTATTAAACTTTCCAGTATCAGAATCTGAGCCGGCTGTTGAATGTCTTCCCGTCCATCTGGAGGGCAAGCAGTCCGTCCTGTTTAGACCTGGCCAACTGGCAGATGCAGCCGCTAGGAACAGCTCCAAACTCACCATCTACTTTGACCGGCCTAGTATTTCACTGTTTGACGACCTGACTTATCAGGGGTTCTATGACACGTTTGTAGTTCATGTCAAGCGCCCAAAAACTGCGGAGATATACGAGCACCCCGATGGCGTCCATTTTATCACTGCCCGACAGCGTGGCGAGAAGGTGTGCAGACTGTTTTGGGTCTCTCCGAGCAGGACAGAACAGTATTACCTGCGTATCCTGCTTATGACTGTATCTTGCCGTGGTTATGCCGACCTCCTGTCCCACGGTGGACCAAACTGCCGCACTTTTCGAGGGGTCGCGCGGCATCTTGGCTTGGTGCAAGACGAACAGGAGTACCACTACGCACTGCGCGAGGCCGCCACTTTCATGACTGGCCCGAGACTTCGTTCTTTCTTTGCAACATGGGGGCTCCTGCAGCTCTCCTGTGGGATGCTTTCCGTGATTCCATCTGCGAGGACCACATAGAGCGTAATCCTCTCGATGTTGAACTGGCCTACAAGCTAGGACTCATCGATATTGATCGGAGTCTTCGTCGGCAGGGTTCTTGCGTTGCAGATCACGGCCTCCCCGATGTACACGATGACACGACGGAGTTGGGCAGAGAACTGCTCTTACACGGTGAAAATCAACAGAGAGTGTTTGTGGAGGAGTGGGTGCCAAAGCTCTCTGAAGATCAAAACCGCGTATTTGAGTACGTTACCTCCGTTCTCAATGCCCCTGCCAGCGGAACGTCGTCGAAAATCATTTTTCTTGACGGTCCGGGAGGCTATTATTATTATTATTTTTATTTTATTATTTGTTGTCATGAGAGCCGAAGCCCCCTGACTGCTTACCCGGTACCTATCCTTCAGGACATACCCGGGCCCCATGATGTAGGCCGAAGCTTACGCATCAACCTTTAGCACATCATGGGCGGATGACTTAAGGTCATCAGGCTCGCCGGCTGCCGAAGCAGACCCTTCGGAAAGAGGGTTGCCCCTCAATCCTAACCAGGGATTCCGGCTGCTTGTTTAAGCGTCACTCCACCTGGGTTCCACTAGGTCGGAACCTAGAGGTCCATAGTAGAGCGCCCCGACGCATTTAGTGCAAGCAACACTCGGGACCTATCTCATCCCTGACAGGCAGAACCCGCCATCAATAGCCAGGAGGAAGGGGACCATCAGCACGCTGACGGGGGGAACCCCAACCTCCCATTTACACCGCTGCCCGATCGAGGCCTTACCCATTGCTGGGAAACCAGAGATAACCAGAGCGATAGATCCCCAGATACCCCTGGCGGGCTCGGACCCAGCACCCGATCTACTTCGTTTGCCCGTCAGACCCAACATCACTGCCAGGCCATCAGGGTTTCCCAAAAGGAGGCAGGTATAGAAGTGGGACCCACCCGGATGAACCTATCCACCAGAGGTGGCGACACCCTTGACTCAATTGAGGTTCCGGGAAGAACCCCCCACACTCAAGATAACCATACCGTCCGTGCTCAGAGACAGGGATAGGTTTGCATAAGTACCTACAAACCGTTGCCCTCACACTGCGGAAAGTTACGTTGCCCTTGAGTGTCCCCGTGAGCTGCGGGTACTTGCCCGTTTTCACCTCCAGGAAAGGTTACTTCCAAAGTCGAGGATTTGCCCACTGAATGCTGGTCGCACACAACAAGCAGGCCGAAGCCCAAAGAACCACAGACACAGGTAGGTTAGAGATTATGATGTACTTCCATCTCTCCTAGAGCTAAACACCCCTCCATCCTGGATAAAGGAATGTCACTGGGACCCGATGCCCAGTCGACCATGTCTGTGGCCAACTTGAAAATGCCGATACCAACACGGAGCATTTACCTCCCCTCTGGGGGCTAGGTATTTCACCTCCCAGGACGAGGCTACTTCCAAAGTCGAGGATATGCCTCACAAAATGTCAGTCGAACACAACAGGTAGGACTCAGTCACAACCACAGTTACAGGTAGATGAGGAGAGGCGGAATTAACGGCGTCACTGAGAGCTAAACACCCCCCCCACCCTGAATGGAGGGAATGTCACTGGAGGCTCCCCCTAAGGGGCTGGCGCTTACCAGTCGTCCATAACTGTGGTCTACCTGAAGTGCCGGGTCTGACACCGGGCAGTTACCTCCCCTCTGGGAGAGCTAGGGTCCGCGTGGTCGCCCAGGCCACGAACCCACGCAAGCGTGAGCCCCCTGCGGTTGTGAGATGAAGATTACCTGATATGGTTCTTCAAAGCTCTTCCGGGAGGCTATGGGAAGACCACTCTGATTCGTGTCATTCTCGCATACGTGAGAGGTTGTCGTCAGGTTGCACTGGCAGTCGCTAGCTCTGGGATCGCCGCGGGTAACATGCCTGGTGGAACTACAGCTCACAGCATGTTCCGGTTGCCACTCGACTTCGGTGACGGCACCGGCTTTTGGAACATCACCAACGGCTCCCAGCGAGCAGAGCTCATCAGGGCCGCAAGGCTCATTGTCTTTGATGAGGCCCCGATGGCTCATCGGTTCGTTTTCGAGGTTCTTGACAGATCCCTGCGAGACCTCATGCGTTCCAGTGAGCTATTCGGTGGTAAAATATTCCTCTATTGTGGCGACTTTCGCCAGATCGCGCCTGTCGTTGTAAACGCTCGTACTCCAACTGACATTGTTTGTGTCTCACTTCGGGCTTCCCATCTGTGGCAGCATTTCAAAATTTTTGCCCTGACAACAGCTCATCGGACTAGTAGTTCCACAGCCTATTCCGAATTCCTTCTTAGGGTAGGCAACGGAACTGTCAGTTCGACCACTTTCTTGGAGGGACGGAACGAACAAAAGTCTAATTCCGCTGCTCGGGATTAGACAAGTGACGTCTTTGACTGATTTGGTCGATTCCGTCTTTCCCGCAAACGTCCTACTCGACTCTGATATGTGTTCGCGACGCGCAATCCTCTCGACTCTGATAGTGAACGTCAAGGAGATCAACGACCACATCTTGAACTCCCTCGACGGTCATCTGTACGAGCTGAGGAGCGCCGACACAGTCGACAGAGAGAACGACGATGGCCTGGATGTCGACGTTCAACTCCTGAACACGGCTACTGGCAAGGGCGTACCAGACCATGTTCTGCGGCTGAAGATCGGCTCTGTTTGCCTCATTATGAGGAATCTCAACATCGCTGAAGGACTCGTCAACGGCACTAAAGTCATTGTAATCGGCATCTCCAACCGTCTGATTACAGTGAGACTTCCCGGACAGACGCAACCTATCGGAATTCCCCGGATTACCTTTACTTTTGCGTTTGTCGAGGGTTCGCCGTTACGTGTTCGTCGACGTCAGTTCCCACTGATGTTGGCCTATTGCATGACCGGACACAAGAGCCAAGGTCAGACAATAGATTCAGTCGGTGTTGATTTACGGACCGATTGCTTCACGCACGGGCAACTATACGTTTTGCTCAGTAGGGTCAGACATCCAGACCATATTGTTGTTCTCGTACACCCCGAACGTGTCCGAGATGGAATCGCATACGCAAAGAACATCGTGTATGGCGATCTCCTTCTCTAAACCTGATTTGACATTAGCAGTAGGCTAGGGGATCTGCTTAATCAAAACTCCCCGTTGTGACTTGACAACATCGGCAGTACGATAGGGGGCCTGCCTTATCAAAAGTCCCCGTTGTTGTATAAAGTAGTTAGTAAAGTTTACTAACTTGTACATTTGTAAATAATTGTAAATATGGTTCCGACGTTTCCTGGCCTCCTCGTGGCGGAACTGGATATGCCATAAATTGTATGGCTAACCGACAGGGAAACAAACATTATTGATCTATTTTCATAAATATATACATGAATATCTACTATAATCTATTTAATTCATATGATACTTTACTATTATCAACTTATTCACTTATCAATCGACATACTAATCAATCTACTCATTTTATACAAAAGTTTACTAATTTGTACATTTGTAAGTAATTGTAAATATGGTTCCAACGTTTCCTGGCCTCCTCGTGGTGGAACTGGATATGCCATACAGTTCGTGGCTAACTGACAGGGAAACAAACGTTACTTAATCTATTTTCATAAATATATACGTCATGAATATCTACTATAATCTATTCACATCATATAATACTTTACTATTATCAACTTATTAACCTATCAATGAACACCAATATCAATTTACTTATCTTGTACAAAAGTTTACTAACTTGTACATATTCAAATAATTGCAAATATGGTTCCGACGTTTCCTGGCCTCCTCGTGGCGGAACTGGATATGCCATAAAGTTTATGGCTAACCGACAGGGAAACAAACCTTACTTAATCTATTTTCGTAATTATATACTTGAATATCTACTATAATCTATTTACTTCATATAATACTTTACTATTATCAACTTATTAACTTATCAATCTCCTCTAATAAATTCATGAAATCGTTATTACTTTAATGTCGATTTCTACTATAACGAACCCTTTGCTCCTCATATTATTACTTCCTTTGACCAAAAACTCAATTGTAAAAATACTCTACTAACATACTCACTTACCGCAAATCTACCCACGATTTTTGTATAAGGGGCTTTCTAAAATATTCGTAAAAATGTTACTCGAAATTAACTTATATAACTTAATATTGACGGTTTCACTTCTTGCTTTGTTACAACTTATCTCTAATCTACTAATGACGACTAACAGCTAGGGGGCCTGGGGGCGGAGCCCCCAGCGAGCCAAAGGCGGGTAGTTATTATATAGTTTAATACTTTTCTTTGAAATGGCGACCATACAAAGTTAGGTATTTGTACCATGCAAAATCTAAAATTTGGTAAGGGTGGTTGTGATTGTTATACATAATAATAAGATAGAAAAACAACTTGTAAAAGGCATTTCTTTGTAGGTCAAGATATCGCATAAATCAGCAAAACCTGTATAATGTAGAGATATCAGTGTAACGCAATTAAATATTGCTTTATTCGTAAAATAATCAATTCAATTAACATATTTTAGTAAATATTTTATCGTAGTAACAATTTCCGATATCTAGGGAGCAGGTCTTAACACCTTCTTTAAAGTATATTTTTGGTGGCAAACTGATTTTATTTATTTTGTTCAGTCTATGTCAGTAGTTGCTTTAGAAACTCGTAATAAACAATATGACTTAAAACGAATATGGTGTAATCTGTGTATCTTACAATTTATTTATTAAATTTCAATTTTAATTTATTAATTAAATTGCAAACCTGGTTGCAGCGTTTGATTAATATTACATAAAAAAATTTATATTGTAACAAACAGTACCTTCCTAATGTGAGTAAAATTAGTCAAAGAATATCACAATAATATTGTATAGTGACATTTCGCATATACTAATTTTCTTACTAATGTAATCACGTTTTAACATGAATTATGCCATTATTTCCAATTTAAAGCTTAGGTAGGCTGTGAAAAATTTAAATAATTTAGTGGTAACTACACTACTAAACTACCATACTACTATACAGGACTAGAGGTTACTATTTCGTTTTGAAGTCAAACATCAACGTGTTACAACACCTACATTCATTCGCATTCCCTCGCCTATCGAAGCAGTAAAGTGTTATCCTGACGACGCTCAGGTGCAGAGGCCAGAGGTAATCGTCATAAACCTCTGGTCCTTCTCACCTTAGGAAACTAACTGCGGACACTTGCGAACCATATCTTTCAACCTTCAAAAACATCAGGTCCTTCTCACCTTAGAGAACTGCGGACACTTGTGAACCATATCTGGTAATCCTCGTAAGCCACATGTCCTTCTCACCTTAGAGAACTGCGGAAAATTGTAAATTGTAACTGGTAATAATCACAAACATCAGGTCCTTCTCACCTTAGAGAACTGCGGACACTTGTGAATTATATATGGTAATAATCATAAACATCAGGTCCTTCTCACCTTAGAGAACTGCGGACACTTGTGAATTATATATGGTAATAATCATAAACATCAGGTCCTTCTCACCTTAGAGAACTGCGGACACTTGTGAATTATATCTGGTAATAATCATAAACATCAGGTCCTTCTCACCTTAGAGAACTGCGGACACTTGTGAATTATATATGGTAACAATCATAAACATCAGGTCTTTCTCACCTTAGAGAACTGCGGATACTTATGAATTATATCTGGTAATAATCATAATCTTCAGGTCCTTCATACTTTAGAGAATTGTAGACACTAGTGAACCATATCTGGTAAACTTCGTAAGCCTCAGGTACTTCTCATCTTAGAGAACTGCGGACCTTGTGAACCATATCTGGTAAACTTCGTAAACCTCAGGTCTGTCTCACCTTAGAGAACTGCGGACACTTGTGAACCATATCTGGTAATCTTCATAAACCTCAGGACCTTTTCACCTTAGAGAACTGTGGACACTTTTGAACCATATCTGGTAATCTTCATAAACCTCAGGTCTTTCTTACCTTAGAGAACTGCGGACACTTGTGAACCATATCTGGTAATCTTCATAAACCTCAGGACCTTTTCACCTTAGAGAACTGTGGACACTTTTGAACCATATATGGTGATCTTCATAAACAGCAGGTCTTTCTTACCTTAGAGAACTGCGGACACTTGTGAACCATATCTGGTAATCTTCATAAACCTCAGGTCTTTCTTACCTTAGAGAACTGCGGACACTTGTGAACCATATCTGGTAATCTTCATAAACCTCAGGACCTTTTCACCTTAGAGAACTGTGGACACTTTTGAACCATATCTGGTGATCTTCGTAAACCACAGGTCTTTCTCACCTTAGAGAACTGCGGACACTTGTGAACCATATCTGGTAATCTTCATAAACCTCAGGACCTTTTCACCTTAGAGAACTGTGGACACTTTTGAACCATATCTGGTGATCTTCATAAACAGCAGGTCTTTCTTACCTTAGAGAACTGCGGACACTTGTGAACCATATCTGGTAATCTTCATAAACCTCAGGACCTTTTCACCTTAGAGAACTGCGGACACTTGTGAACCATATCTGGTAATCTTCATAAACCTCAGGACCTTTTCACCTTAGAGAACTGTGGACACTTGTGAACCATATCTGGTAACCTTCATAAACCTCAGGACCTTTTCACCTTAGAGAACTGTGGACACTTGTAAACCATATCTGGTAACCTTCATAAACATCAGGCCCTTCTCACCTTAGAGAACTGCGGACACTTGTGAACCATATCTGGTAATCTTCATAAACATCAGGCCCTTCTCACCTTAGAGAACTGCGGACACTTGTGAACCATATCTGGTAATCTTCATAAACCTCAGGACCTTTTCACCTTAGAGAACTGTGGACACTTTTGAACCATATCTGGTGATCTTCATAAACAGCAGGTCTTTCTTACCTTAGAGAACTGTGGACACTTTTGAACCATATCTGGTGATCTTCATAAAAAGCAGGTCTTTCTTACCTTAGAGAACTGCGGACACTTGTGAACCATATCTGGTAATCTTCATAAACCTCAGGACCTTTTCACCTTAGAGAACTGTGGACACTTGTGAACCATATCTGGTAACCTTCATAAACATCAGGCCCTTTTCACCTTAGAGAACTGCGGACACTTGTGAACCATATCTGGTAATCTTCATAAACCTCAGGACCTTTTCACCTTAGAGAACTGCGGACACTTGTAAACCATATCTGGTGTTTGACAGGTATAATCTCTTTAAACAATGATGGTTCACTTAAAATACGTCATTTCCATGCTTAGGATAATAACGTCATGTTTTTCCTAGTTCGTATACTAAAAAGTAAATGATTTTGTAAATTGTAAATCATTTTGTAAAAGTAAATGATAAGGCACTAATGGTCTATATTGTCTATGAAAGAAAACAAAATACCCTATACAGGGAGTCTAATAGTATAGTAATCTTAAAAAACTTATCAATTTTTATAAAAAAATATGTAAACTTTATCCACCAAGTCCTGAAGTCTCAAGTGTGTCCAATTAATTTTAAATTGTCTAAGGTGCCTATCCAATGTTAGGTACGTTTTCTTGTTACTATTAAAAATTGCTCTAATAAGGTTTAAAAGTTATTTTAGTTATTATAACATTTCAAACATTTTCGAGATGATTTCCTTAAATTGTATTATTATTTATGTAAACCGTGTATCTCGCTGTAATCTATATTTTATAACAATGATATGATGTTTGTCTGTCTAGCGATCCACTGTGAACCGTTTAGTTAGATGTAAACTACCTAAACTAGACGAACCTAAACTAAAAACACCATACATAACTATGTTGTTTTTATTTATTTAGACGTAGTATGATTATCTTATTATGCTTATAAGCTACTTGACGTAATAGATTAGGTATTGATAACGCTGAACTAATTGATGCTTTACCAGATTATTGTATACAAGTGTTATTAGGTTAATGCAAGCTAATGGGACAATTTGCAAGATCTTGTCTAAATGCTAATTATGTTTGCAGATCTTCACTCACTTTAAATGAGGTACTTGCTAGCTTATAGAAACGATTGGAGTCAAGTGTTTTATTTTAACACGTCGTAACTACTAT